CTCCGCCGGGGGGCCTGTCCCCTGGGCCGGGGCTGGGGGGCAGCGATGGCGGTGGAGGCTGCCGAGGCCCTGTGCCTGGGTGCACGGAGCCGTGCTCGCCGCTGTCTTTGCCGTTAACGGAGAAGAGAAATACGATGTGACACGTTTTCCGTTTAGGCCTTGATTCGCAGCGTAATGCAATAATTACGAAAACGGCCCCCTCTTTATTAACTTCTCCGTTCTTTATGTTATCTTCCTTCTCGCCACCCCGCCTCTCCCAGCTGGGGAGGCTGTAGGTGTTTAGCACGCCTTCGACAGGTAGCTGCCTTTCTGCATCGGCAAATGAATCCTTTCGGGTGAAATATTGCTGGGTTTTACAAGAGCTGTCTGTGCAGTGCTAGATATCCAAATTGCAAGTCAGATGGAATCATCATGGATTTGTTCTGATTTTAAACTTTTACCTCAGCAACTCCCTCTTCACCAAATTCTTGTTTTGTACTGAGAAATGCTTTGGACAATAGGTGGTGTGAAATGCCCTTGGGGACAGAAGCTGGATGGTCGTTATGTTGTGTCATCCCCCCAGATTTCTTGCCTGTTACTGGCTATAAAAATGTCAATAACCAAAGCCTGCCCCAGATAAAACATTCAGGATCAAGACTGCAGGTTTTCAGAGTATGGGTCTAATCTCCCACCACAGAATAGGACCTGTTTTCGTCAAAGTCTGAGTTGCACTTCTGTAATTTAATAACCAGGCTCCAAGCTTGCTTGCTTAAGCTGTGTCTCGGCTAAGCAATTTTAGTCCTCCAATCTGCAAAATGGATCCCTTAATAGAAAAAATCCCTAGTTTTTGCAAGAGCTGTCCAAATGCAATCCATAAGTCTCAGCGTCTTGTCTAAGCTAATGCAAAGCAGCAGCGTTGGACCATATGATGACTGAAACGCTAGTATAACTGAGTCTCCCAGCATGCGTACGCTCTCCCACCATTCCTGTGAGCGACAGAACCGCAGTGTTGGTAGCAGCCTTCGGAAATCATAGAAGATCATCCTGGTATGGATCTTGCTGTGGAAGTTTGCAGATGCGGTTACTGCCCGGTGCATCTTCTCGCCTTGTGTGAACCCTGTTGCGTAACAGTTGTAACTTCCCTTGCTCAGACTGTTGAGGGAGCGATTAAGAAGCATGACACCTGACTGTAGATCATGTTCTTAGAGAAAACGACGCTTTGTTTTCAAATCAGATAAGTCAGTCTCTTTTAAGATGTTTTGATAAACTGGATCACAATTTATGTTAAATGAAAGAAACAATGAGTCACTTAATGAGAAGCAAAAAGCGTAATTCTCCAATCACTCTGGGCTGCCAAAACAATACAGATAGCATACACAAATGTGATAGCCAGGTTCTTTGCTACAGAAAACATAAAAAACATTCATAGAAACTACATGGAGAGAAGAAATATTTTGCTGTGCTACAAAGGAGGTTGTGATCATTGTTTTATCTTGAAATATAGGTACAATACAGCATCAAAATTCAATTGGCCATCCATGTCCCTTACAAACACTGGAAGATTTTATCACAAAGGTGACTAGTTGGGCTAAGCTCTACATGTAAGAATGATGCAGACAACAGCACCGTGTTCTGTGTTCGCCATGCTCAGTTGAGAAACTAGATCTACAAGTGATAAAATGCTGAAAGTGCTTAGCAGTGGGAGGAATGCATAGCTTGCCTGCATTGTTATTCATTTCTGTGTTACTGTTTTATTTGGTGGAGAGAGGTAATAAAAATGGAGAGTAACAATTCAAGACATTGAGAAGCTTATAACCTGAGTCATTTCTGCATTGAAATTAAATTGTGTTGTCCGTAATGTTGCACTGAAGGCACAGATTTAGGAAGGTGGGAGGACGGGGGCTGTAGCTCTCCCTCCTCTGCTGCCAGCGCTGCTCCTGTCACATGATGCGACTGCACAGTCCTCCGCTCGCACTGCAGCTGCGCTCGCCCTGGCGTGTGCCAGTCAGATTTCGCCTCTTTCTGCATCACTTTTATTCTGGTTTAGCTCTGTTGGCTTTAAATGGAGTTGTTGATATAAACGGTTGATGGGAATTCATTTGATCATCTGGACATGTTACTTTGTTGGCTTATCTTTTATTCTGCATGGTGTGCTTTGGGCAAGGAAGGAAGAGTTCTGGTGTGAAAGTCTACTCTGAGGTGATGTTATTGCCTAAATAGCTAAATTTAACTGTATTTTAAACAAAAAAACCCCAACACCCCCTCCACCAACCCCCCAAAGCACGATACAGCTATCAGAGTCTTACCACAGAAATCTGTGTGTTGATGTCTTTTTTCACAGAACTTTTCATAGAAATGTTCAGTTGGAGCAATCTTTGTAGAAGGAAAACCAGGACCACCTGTACATGCAAGCTTTATATTAATTTTCTTTGATATTCTTGTATAAGGACGTTCTGCAGGCTTGGCTTTTGTAGTCGAGTTGCTCTCTTTAAGCACATAAGCTCTGCTCTGGATATGTAGTTTTTAAACAGGCTAGAAACAGAGGTTTGAAACAGGGTATGTGTTGCAGCAGAAGGAAGCAGTTTAAAGCAGTGGACCAAATTGTGTGTGGGAGCTGCATGGAGGGTCAAATAGAGGTCTGTTTCTATAAAGTATGTAAGTTAGTTGCCAACACAAATATTACCTAGCAGTTTACATGTGCTGAGAGAGTGCAGTACAGCCCTGCAACAGGAATAGAATAGAATAACCATCAATCTGGTTCCCTGAGGATGTCAGTCAAGAAAGGAAGTGTGCGATGCCAAAAAGCCTGGATGGAACAGCAGGTTTAGAGGACTCGTCGTTTGAAGTATTTTTAATTATTGCTATTATTATAATGGAACACAGACTAGAAGCTGAATTTTTTAAATATAATTAAAGCAGAAGTCAGCAGGGGGATTTCTCTGCTGCGTGGCAGAGAAATGGTCCAGGAGCAGCTCCTGCTCAGGAGAGTGAATTCCCAGAGTGATAACGCTCTCCGTGCAATTCCCGAGCTTGCTGGCAGCTTACTGCCAAACACCGGTTTGGAGGGAAGAAGTGAACTGAATTGATCGAAAAGCTTTCTGTAGCTTGTACTGCATTCTCTTTTGTCAGAGTAAGGTTCCAGTTGGAAATTAGCCATTGACACCTTGGCTGAGAATGCTAACAAGATGCAGAGTGTGATAACTGCCCTCCAAATCGGACACTGGCCTGAACTGCCATTTGGGCCATCTAGTAAATAATTTGACTTGCTGGAAAGAAGTCTCCTAATTCTCCATATCACATTAACATCAAGCTACACTGTATAGCAACCGTTCAGTTTTCAATTAATGAGTGTACATCAAAGAGTTAAAACATCAGTCGTTTTCTGAGTAAAGAAAGAAGAAAAAAATCTATCTTGTAACTCAGATGCTTTTCAGGAACTTGGCCGCTCTAGATACGAGAGGCATGTGCTTTTCCACCCTGCTTTAGGTGATGGCTTAGTTCAAGGGGGCCCAGATTTGGCTCAGTCAACAGTTGTGTTGGCGTCTTGCCATCGAATGTGCATAAAATGGAGCTGACTGCAATTCCCTTCTCACTCTAACATGGAGGGGCAGCCCAGAGAGACCTGAGGCCCTGGTATACCTTGCTGTAGGTTGACTTGGCTATGAGACTTATACCGGGATGTGCGATCCCTGCAGCATAAACTGTGGTATTGTGACTTGATCATTGCTTTCAAGTCCCTGGGTTCTATTTTGGTGTCTTGTCATAACTAATGCATTTCAACCCTTGTTGTGCCTGTGCTTCCAAAATCTTTCTCCCTTCTCACAGCGGCTTACGCGCTTTTCCAGATGTATGAGGTTCATATGTCATTTGCCGACTCTTCCTATATTTTGTGGCATGTGCATTGCCACAAAATCAAGATAAAACACAACTGGCATTTTAGCTGCTCCAAGAACATTGTGTGTAAATAAACCACTAAATAGTTTAGCTTGTGAAATGTAAATACACACAGCTCAGCCCGCCGCAGCTGATGGTGTTTTTCTATCTCCCTTCTTCCCCTCCCACCCCTGCCAAGAGTAGGCTAGCCTGATGTTCTTTTTCCTATTGCTCTCTCATACAATGCAAATGACTACTAAGTACCATGTAGGTGGTATGCAGGCACCACTACAGATTCATGATTTGAATTTGGGTGAAGGGGAACACTTGCATCCTCTTCCACATTGCTTCTGAACCATCTTCTGGGGATTCCTGGACTCCGATGACCCAGAAACTCTGCCTTGGTCTGACTTTGAGCTTGAGCTCATTTTTGGTAGCAAACTAGTTAAGTCAGTAGAAGAGCAGAGGCCCAACTGTGATGACATTTTTAGCCTTTGCCCTTTGTTCATCCTATACACAAAAGGTCATGAACTGCAGTGAAAGAGGGATCACAGAGGGCGCAGAACGGACAAAGGTGGAACAAATTGCCAGTGGCAGAAACATAAAGAAGAGAAGCAAAAGTTTTGTGTTATGAAGGTAATTGAAAAAGGCCACGCGCATCCCATGGTGATATCGTGTCTCTTGTATGTAAAGTGAGTCCGCCCATAGTGAATTTAGAAGAGGCTGCTGGTAAGGTGTGGCTTAGATGATCTCAATGTAGAAGGCAGGAAGGGACAACACTGTTTCCGAGGTATGATGTTACTGAGCAGCTCTGCGTTGTTCTAGGAGAAAAGATGCGAAAGCTGCAGTTCTGGATACAGTCAGGTGTGCTTTAATCAATAAAAGGATTTTAAAGACTTGTAAACCAAATGAAAAATCTGATTCTATAGACTAAGCACTTATTTGAAGCTAAATAATAGGACTGACACTATATGCTGGATATTTGAACTCATTTGACTCGGAATGGAGTCGAATCTGTGGTGTTGGTTTTTAAAGTCTTGGGACTGTTCCTGCTGGGATGTCAAAGGTAATGCAGGGGTGGCAGCTCATGTTAACTCTGGGGTCTTAATATGAGACACTGTTTGCAAATCTTCTGGTCTTCTGATGTGCTGAGGAATGAACTACACGTTCATGTGCAAGTATTAAACTTTCAGTTTGCAGTAATAAAATAAAATTCTTGTCTAACTGTGTGCCTGCTGTCTGTCACTTCCACTTGCTATAGCAGTGTGCATCTGGAGAATTGTGCGTGTGTGGTTTTTATCTTTTCTTATATATCCCCTTCCCTCTCCTTTCCCCTTTTTAGGAAACAAAGTTTATGCAAATGCATAGTCAGGCTTCCTCGTTTGTTCTTTTTCTCCAAGCAGCTTTTAAATCACTTGTCCGATGTAACCAGTGTTGCTGTAGGGAGAAAGGTCCTAAAGATTATCTAGCCAGTAATGTTCAGCTCAAAGGAAGTTGAAGGAGAGGGACATGTTTAGTGCCTCTATTAAAGGGAAGAACAGGCAGAAGAGACTTGTTACATTTTGTAGGAGGCATCTGGCCAGCCAGTCAGCATGTGTGGAGCTCTGGGACGGTTGAAGCAGTCCCCTTTGCTGGGTGGGTGAGCTGGGGTTATTGTGATGGGTGGGGAAAGATCAACAGGGCCACATACAGGTCGATGTGGGACCAGGCTTCCTCCTTCTGTAAAAGAGAGGATGACTGTTCGTGCATAAATGTGTGAACTAGTGTGAGAGGCTCAGTTGGGTTTTTATGTTTTTATTATTTTTTTTTTTAAATGTCTTCCCTCTTGCTTAATCTTTAGAGATAGTACTATTTCTGCAAGTTAGCTGTAAAATTGGTATATTTTAGTAGGAAAAATACTTTCTTGGTGAATTCCCGATTGGAGTAGAACTAGTTGCATTTGCAGGTGATTTTCAGTCAGCCACACTGTAATTTGTTTACAAAATAGAAGTTTTTCACCCACCTAGTTCATGCTGCATTTCTCCTTAGTGCCCTTTTGAAATAAGCATACAGGCAGAGAGAACATGATTTGACCAGCGTTATCAGCTAAATAAAATAGCTCCGTGTTTCTCTTTCTTAAGTTATATTGTAAGTTGCTTTTTATTGTGGTGTTCAAACAAGAAATATCTCCAAAGCCTGGGCTCTACCCAAGTCCTTTTCCTTGTGTATTCTGTGTGCATGTTTA